GACCCACTAACTCTCACACTCGACAATCGCATACGTCCAATAATGTTACTTCTAATCCACAAGTATTTCATACTAGACAGAATCAGTCCGTTTTGTTAGGGACTGCAATGGTAAACATAATTCATAACAGCCATAAGTATCAGGTCCGTGCTTTAATAGATTCGGGTTCAGAATGTTCTTTCATTTCTGAACGTTTACGAAAAAGATTAAAACTTCCCACTCATTCTTCGAATTGTAACGTTTCTGGCGTTAATAATGCGGTTTTTGGAGTTTCAAAGTTTTATCCTTTGGAAATTAGTTCAGATTTAGATTCTTCAATAAAACTATCAACTAACGCATTTGTTTTACCAGAAATAACAGGAAATTTGCCTTCGACTTCTGTAAATGTCGATATTGGAAAATTATTGCCAAATCTTTGTTTGGCTGATTCGAATCTTTTTACCAGTAGGCCTGTAGATATTCTTATCGGAGCAGATTTATATCCGCGCATTATTTTACCGGAAATACAACAAAACGTATTAGGGTCATTATTGGCACAGAAAACTATATTTGGCTGGATACTGACAGGTCCAGCTAATCCTACGGATTTTGAAGCATATATCGACAATTTAACGTATTCTACGTGGTCTAACGCTTGTTAACCTTTAATTTATTATCACTTTAAAATGCTCACAGAAACATATTTATGTTCCTACTACCTTATTTATGTTTATTATTATACCTTATTAATTATTATCTTTATATATATTATATTACTTATATTAAATAATAATCCACCTGCAGGACTTCGGTGCTGTGGGAAAAGTCGAGAGACTTTCCAAAAATCCACCTGCGGGACTTCGGTTCTGTGGGGAAAGTCGAGAGACTTCTTAAAAATCCACCTGCGGGACTTAGTTTCCGTGGGGAAAGTCGAGAGACTTCTTAAAAATCCACCTTCGGGACTTAGGTTCTGTGGGGAAAGTCGAGAGACTTCTTAAAAATCTACATCGTTTTAAAATCGTTTGCAATTCCTAAGGTATTGCAAGGTGGCCGGCAATGTTTAAGTTAAAATTGATTTAACTACCTTTTTGAAATACTATTTATAACAACGTTAGAATCCTATAAAGCTTCCCTTTTTTTTGCAACTTTGTTGGAAGATTCTAACGAGTAACCGCTAACGGTGCTTAAATATTGTTTGCCACCAAATTTATGCTTGTTTCGTTTGACATTATAAATCACTTTTGATTTGTCTACGACACAAGCACTACGTGCAATTACATTTACAAAACCATCTACTTCTACGAGGTAATATTTTGGTTTAAATAAAAAGAGATCTTCATCTCTAATAAATTTGAAATATACATTTGTTTTATTTTTATATAAAATCTTGGGAATCTTGTTGGAGCTGAACACTTCTATTGATTTTTTTATTTTTAAAATAAATTTCTACAATCACAAATGTATTACAAACTAAAATTATAAAATATTTTATTTTTTGTATTTTCAAATTTTTCTTTTCAATTGTCAAACATTTATGTAGCCCGATGAGCTAGTAAAATTTTATTCACCTCATATCTATCAAAAATTTACATTTTCAAGTAAATTGTTACCGATTGGCACACACTCTTTGTTAAAAAAAATGTTTGAAATTTTCTTAGGAAAATTTTGTATTTCTTTATGATTTTTATATTAAAATCGATGAAATGTGCATGTATTTAGCGGCATTTTATGAAGAATAGATGCTTAACTATGTTGGATGATGTTTTCTTGGTTAACATTTAGTTTTTCTGCGTTTCAATTTATATTTTTTTATTGTACAAAATTCGCTAATATAGGATTAGTTAGTTAGTTAGTTAGTTTGAAAGGAGGATGTACATATGTACATCAAATCCGAAGACATACACCTAGGCCTCTATCGGGCCTGTTGTGCGCTCCTTAACCAGTGCCTCAGGTGGGAATCGAACCCACCACCTCCGGTCTACCAGACTAGAACACTAACCACTAACCTACCGGAGGCCACTAATATAGGATTACTATCTACAAAATATGGAAACAGATTAGTAGATAATAAACTTTTTTGCAATTGTTCATAAATATCGTAGAAAAAAAGTAAAAATTCAAAAACTTTTCGTCATGTACAAGTTCATACACTTTATGAACTTTTAATATTCTGAATGAAAATGGTTTGGGAAAAAAAAGTCATGCTCGATTCATACAATGTATTACAAAATTCATTCATGTTATGTATTATTTTTTTCTGTGTATGTTTAATAAAAAAACAAAAAAGACAATATTTTAAAATGTGTTAACAATACGTTTTATGGACCCGGAAAACGCAAAATAATTACGATCTTCAGAGCTTCCAAAAATGGAAAAATCTATAAGTGGTTTATTTGCATGTGAAATAAAAACATCCCTGTAAGTGGTTTGATGTTGAAAGAGAAAGCCAAACAAATTCACAAAAACATACAGTGTCTCACATAAATATTCGAATTTATTATTTTTTATGAATTACTGTGTTATTTTATGATGCTACTTTAAAAATAATAATAGTATTTAAAATTTTTTAATGAAATTTTATTAATTTATATTATTTTTACGAAATACAAGAAAAAAGTAATAAAAACTCATTAATGGTATCCAAGAAAATGGAAAAAACCCAAAAAGGGTCATTTCAGGTATTGCCCAAAAATATTCGAATTTTTTCTCAGAACTTTTTTAGAATCCTTGAACACGTGTTTTATTGCCCATTAATTAACCTATTATACAGGTAGTGGTTATATGGAATATTTAACATTATATTTTTTGGAAATTTGCATAATTATGTTGTAAAACCTTCCTGTGTAAGCGCTTAAAATGTTCAAAGAAAAAGAGTTGATCAATTCAAATTAAAAAATTAATTTATATCTGTATAATCAAGGTCGCTCAATTAAATACATATAGGAAATGTTTGATAGATTCCCATCGACAATATATTTTGTCATTACACGCATGGAACAAAGAATTCCATCGAGTATTTACCATTATCAAGTCGTCCAAAACTGCTGTCAATACAGGACGACAGAGAAATACTGAGGAAATACCGAAGGAAACTTCATCTATCAGCTCCAAAAATTAACAACGAACTCAGGACAGTCCTGTGAATAAAAATTAGTGTCGAAGTTGTGCGCAAAGTACCAGGGAGCAATAATTTGCATGGTCAAGTACCAAGGTGGAAACCGCTCATATCGAAGTTAATCGATGTTAAGTGTCTTGACTCCGCAAATACACTCATAAGTAAGAATATTGGATTCTGGAAGGAGGTTATTTTCGACGATTAGTACAAATATAATATTTTTGGCTCAGATGGTCGTCAAATGATATGGCGAAAGCTTGGAGATGCCTTGGAATTATCTAACTTAAAACCAACTGTAAAGGACCCAAGTTGCTCTGCCATATTTTGGGGTTCTGTGTCCGTCCACGGTGTTGGACCGCTAAAATTTATTATTGTAATTATAGACTAGAAGGTCCACTTGTCAATTTTAGAGCAGAATTTGCATGCTAGTACCACCAAAATGGGGCTACAACCCATTCAATTTATTTTTCAACAGAAAAACGATCCAAAATACACGACCTGGTACGTGAAAATGTTGGTCATTTACAACACTAAGTATCTTCTTTCACCAAATTTTCAATGGAGTTAATGTCTGGACTTAAACTCCATTTGTGGTTATATTTACAAGAACAACTTTTAAATCACTCATTATCCTCTAAAACCACCAAACGGTTGCTTTTCATGAAGAATGGGACATAATAACGCCAGAACTATTCCATAAATTTGTAGAAACGGTCCCACGACGCTTGGAAGTTGTTTTTAAAAACAAAGACTACTATACAAAACATTAATTTCATTTTAATTATTTATTTTTACTTCATAATGCTAATCTAAATATGATTTATACAAAAAATTCGAATACTTTTGTGAAGCTATTTTTTGCACTTTTTTTAAAAAAAGTTAAATTAGTTTAAGTAAATTATTTTTTTTTTTAAATATTTAAAATGTGGTATAAAATTTAAGGACTGTCTGAACAACATAATAAATTTATTTATTTTTCCCACAAAATCTATTATAAAATGATGTTTGTTTTCATAATACATTAAAATATTCCGCGCAATCTCAGTTCGTAAATCCTTTTAAAATTAAATTGAAAGCAAAGCTAGAAGATTTGGGTTTATCCGATGATCAGTTGTATAATGCCGATGAGTCTGGTCTATATTGGAAACTTCTTCACAAAAGACATATGTAACGTCATTGGAGAAAAGCGCTCCAGGTGCAAAAATGGAAAAGCAAAAGAATAACATTTTTATGCTGTGCAAATGCGTCAGGATCTCATAAAATAAAACTTTTAGTAATAGTAAAATCGAAAAAAAACATTACTCTGAAAGCATAGTCCAAATTTCAAGCCGATATATATCGTATATAGATCTCGAGATATATCACTTCAAAAATCAAAAACATACCTGGGTATGTGGGTGTTGACGGTTAAATGTCTTTGTAGATAGGTACTTTTGTTTTTTGTCAATAAAATCAGTTTGGTGTGGTCATTTGTTTCATTGGAATCAACAATAAAATCGATTTTGAATTTTTGGTTAGATAGGGCCATTTGCTTTTCAGGTTACGATATGTATGTATTAAGGTTCACCTTATATCTTAAATTGCAAATAAGTTCGTTCCGATGGCAAATAAATAATATGTACGTATGTAGCACTGAAATAGTCGACTTGCCATATGGATAAACATCTTCCAACTGGCTCGAGTTAATCATAATTACATATGAATTGGAACCAATTTCTCTTAAAATTACTTTTTAATTATATATGTATGTCCATACCTATATTGCTGTTTAGATTAAATTTGAAAACATGAATATATGCATATAAACATTTCACTTAATTTAAATCGAGTTTAATGATTTTTAAAAGCATTCAAGTCCAGAGTATAAAATCTTTAAAATTTTTAATTTCATCATTATAAATCTCACCTTTGAAACGAAAACTTTATTGACTTTATTTATTCCAGTTGCTAAATTTACTTTTTTATAAATAAAAACAGTAACATTTAATTCAATAAACATACACAAACTAAGGCCGAAGTCGACTTAAAATTGTCGACGGCGTCTGAACTAAAATAATTCGGCGGCTTACAGTCGGCTTAGAGCCGAACGTTTTAAGGATATTTAAATTTATGTCCAAAAAGAATAAAAAATATCAAAAATAAAAGACAGAGAGGATCAAGTCTGTTTGCTTAAAATATTAATAATAAATGGTTTATAATAAAGGCTCCAAAAGTTTGTAGATTTAGTCTACTTTAATGTGTTGTTACTAGATATCGTGTGAGTAGTTTGAGTTAAAATATTTTACCCCATTTACACATACACGAAATCTAGTATTTATAGGATTTCGAGCCAAATGTAGTTGATTTTAACTGGATTTTCCATTTAAAACAAAATATACCTCTTCAACTAGATTTCGTTAAAATCTAATCAAAATCTAGTACTTTTTAGTGATACAAATCAGATTTTGCTAAATAACACTAAAAAATACGACGCTGCACAAGAAAAAAGAAAAAACAAACAAAAAAAAAAATAAAATGTCGACAAAATTTTAATAAATTGAATGAAAAATTAATTTAAAAAAAGGTAATGTTATATTTCAAAATATATTTTTTTATTATAAATAAAATTTTAATAAATATCCCATTTTTGCTTTTTATTTTTCAAATCAAACACAATTTCGAGAAATATTAGAAAAAATCAAATCTTCCTAAATGTCAAAAATATTAAGGGTAAACGGTGTAGATTTGTAAAAAGATTTTAAATGAAATCTACTTGATTTCGTGTATGTGTAAAGGTGATCTGAATTTTTAATTTGAAATAAAATACATTTATCTTTTAAATAAAATTAATTTTTGGCAAAATATAATTAATATAAAAAAATGTTGGCTATTGCAACCAATAAAAAAAATGAGAAAAACATTAATACCCCATTTACACTACAGGGAAATCTAGTTGATTAGGTTTTTTGAAAATATTAGAAAATATAGAATTTTTATGAATATATTATTTATTGTATAGAATTCGGCATTTATATATTTTAATTTCAAAGCACTTTTCATGTTTTAGGAAATTTTCTTGAACAATTATTTTTTTCCATTTTTTATTTATTTTGTCTCAAATGCAGAGCCAGGCAACGCCTGCTATTGGTCAGTTTTTGCAAGAGCGAAACATAAGAAAAGAGAACAATTTGTACTCTCATATTGAATTCAACACAGGCATGGAAAATGTTAATTTTGAAATGGTGGTGTTTTAAATAAAAATATTAGTTTTTTAGATTAAAATTTGTAAATGTCATTAAACTTCTTTGCTTGTATCTTTAAGAAAGCATTTTAGATAAAAATTAGTTTATTTTGGAAAATGAATAGGTACATTTTCCAAAATAAACTTTTTATTTTTTCCAAAATAAAATTTTTAAATTAAAAAAAAAACCTTCTGAGATATTTATACGCTGTACTCCCACAATGAATAAAAATAAACAAAACGACTTAGTCTCGCTTAGTCATGCAGTGAGGTTGGATGTACGCTTGATGCTAGAGAAACAAATAAAGAAATGTTTAATTTAGAGTGGGAAAATGATTTTTTGTTTGCCGAAAATTTCGATTTGTAATCGGACGATGTCACGAACCAACAAATTTAATGTAGAATGACATTATCTTACATGTCATAGTGAATATGTTAATATTACAGGTGACGCAAGAAATTGTCTTATTTTAGATTTAAAGAAAAATTTTTTTGAAAAATTTGTTTTAGATTACGAATCACAAAATAATGATGATCTTTCCTTAAAAAGGAAAGCTTCATACGTCGTTGCTGCAGCTCTTGCCAAACGTTGCCGTCCATTCGAAGACGGAGAGTTTTTTAAGGAGCTGAGCAACGACGTTTTAGAATGTTTTGGATCAAAAACTGATGAAATTCGTAAAATAATAACAGAAATTCCGTTGTCCTCACGTACTGTAGCTAGAAGAACAGAAAATATCAGCACATTTATATATTCGAATATTAAAAATAAAATAATTAACTGCAAATATTTTTCTATTTGCTTGGATGAATGCACGGACATTAGTGATACAGCCCAATTAATAATATGTGTAAGAACAATAGATGAAAATCTTCAAATCCACGAAGAAATGTTGTCATTGGTTCCCATTCATGGAAATGTTAAGGGAAAAACTATTTTTGATATAATCCAAGAAAAAATATTTTCATTTGCTGATTTCTTTCTTTCTACCGTATGTACTGATGGTGCTAAGGTAATGATAGGAAATGACGGTTTTATTGGACATTTACTGAAAAATAATTTTAATATATATTCATTTCATTGCATAATCCACCAACAGGCATTATTTGCAAAAAATTTGAATTTAATGAATACCATGAAAACGGCAACAAAAATTATAAACAAAATACGTGGTGGACATAATGCCCTGAACCATCGAAAGTTTAAAGCCTTTCTCGATGAAATAAATGCAGAATATGGAGATTTGTTAATGTATACCGAGATTAGATGGTTAAGTAAAGGGCGTTGTCTTCAGAGGCTCTTCAGTCTTCGCGAAGAGGTGATTCTGTATTTTGAAAATAATTCCGCAATAGAAAGTAATGATTTACTAATGTCTTTAAAAGACCATAACTTTATTTTAGATTTGGCATTTCTAACTGATATTACAGAATTTGTAAATAATCTAAACCTTCAATTACAAGGCAAAAATAAAAACATTTTTGAACTTGTGTCCGCGGTTAAACTATTTATAAATAAAACGGAAATATTAATGATTAATTTAAAAAACAAGAATTTAATTACACTTAAGAGAACTACAGAAGTATTCAATGAAACTTTTACCTTTAAATTAGATGAATATATAAAAGTATTAGAAGATTTATTAACAAATTGTAAAAAGCGTTTTAGCGATTTTTCGAAAATAGAGCACATAATTGAATTACATAATGACCCAATGTTTTGCGATATAAATAATCAATCAAATGAAATTAAAGTAGAGCTTTAACAAATGAAAAATGATATATCATTACCATTAGTAAATGGCATCGAATTTTGGAAAAATGTTGATGAAAAAATTTACCCAAAAACAAAAAATAAAATTTTGAAATTATACTCCATGTTTGGTTCAACCTATATTTGTGAATCTTCTTTTTCTTTTTTAAAATTAATAAAAACTAAAACTAGAAGCAGTTTATCTGACAATAATATTGAAAATCTTCTTAGGATAAAATGTTGTCCATATTTTATTGATATTGATGAGGTTATAAAAAATACAGCATGAATGTTTTAAATAACTTTATTTACATATACATGACCTGAACTTAAATGATTTGCTTTAATTTATTTTATTATTTTTTGCTACGAAATTTTTATTATTAAAAATATCACCTAAACTAAAAGTTATTAAATATAATTTTTTTTAATTCCTATTTTTATAGATCTTTTTTTAAATAATTCTCTTTTGCAATCAAAATCTTTGAAAAACTTTTTTTTAGGAAATTTTTTTAAAAATTGTATTTTTTATATGTACATAATTTTCATGAATAGTGAAATATAAATTGTTTTTTTTTATTAAATTAGTCTTTTATATATATATTTTTTTAATAATTCTCCATTCTAATCAAAATTTTTGAAATTATAAAAAACTAGTATTTTTTATATGTACATATTATAGTTTTCATGAATAGTGAAATTAAGTTGTTTTTGTTTTATTAAATATGTTTTTTATAGTTTTTGTTAATTCTCCTTTCAAATCAAAATTTTTTATAGAAAAATTTTTAATGTCCTTTACATATACATATACATAATTACATAACTATACATACATATGTATATAATTTTTATCAATAGTGAAATATAAGTTGTTTTTGTTTTATTAAGTTAGTTTTTTTATAGATGTTTTTTTAAATAATTCACCATTCTAATACAATTTTTCGAAAATTTCCCATTTTTATAGAATATTTTTAAAAAATTCTCTTTTTTTATACAGTATAGTTCTTATGAATAGTGAAATATACGTTGTTTTTGTTTTACTTAATTAATTTTTTCATAAATAAGATTTATTTGCTTTAATTGGTTTGTTTTTATAATTTGATAAATTTTTTAAGTAAAATTTCTCCAATAAATATGAATACAAATCTAACACTGTTTTTTAGATTCGGGTAAAATTTTGAAAAATAAAGTATTTTCAAACACATAAAAATGCTTCTGATACACATTCGGGCATATTTGCAAAAAAAAAAAAATAAATTTTGAAATATTAAAAACAGCTAAAGAGATTAAAAAAGATCATTAAAAATACATTTATTTTGCAAAAGTTCATAATTCTAAAAACATACATAGTTGTCCATCCCTGCATTAGCAGATTTTCATGTACAAAAGAATGAAACAAGCGACAACACAACCACCTTCAATAATGTGTTTTTAACAGTGTGACCAGGTCTCAAAAAATGTTGCGGCTAAATCCCATCCAAAATAATGCTAGAAAAAATGCTAAATTGATTTTAAAATGCCAAAAAAAATGCTAAATTTTTTAAAGTGTTTTTATGAACAATTCATATTAATTTGTAACTGAAATTCATTGTAATTTATATCAAGTAAGAAAGTATATTCTGCCGTGGTTGACCATATGAGTATAAAATTTGATTTATTTTTCGTAATAAAGCATTGATGTTGAATTGAACCTTGGTTCCGATATATTTAAACTAATTTTCTGAGAAAGGCTTTATACATTTGTATATCTATGGGGGCTAGGTAAAATAAAGGACGGACTTTAACCATTTTTAAAAGGTTTTGTCATTGGATCAAAAAGCATACGTGCTTATTGTTTTGAAAATTTCAACCTTTCAGACGGTCAGACTTACATGACTTAATCGATTCAGAAAATGATTCCTAACCGATTAGTATACTCAAACGTAGTATAGTGGAGTAGGGTAAAAAATTAAGTTCCGTGGTATTAAGATAAACAGAAATGCTAAAAATTATTTCAAAATTTTTGTAAATTTAGCAATATGTAATGTCTCTAACT